GAATGCCAGCCCCAAGGAAGGCCACACCCCTCAACCTTGGTACAAGAGGGGAAATGCATTCTGTCAGGGTTGCTCTAGGGCCTGCTGGCTCAGGCATTCCTCAGGCCCAGGGCAGGGCTGCAGAAGCCAGTGGAGCAGCAGGCATGACAGCAGGAGGCGGTTCTGCATCTGGGCCAAGAAGGCTGAGGCAGCCAGGGGAAGCCAGACTCTGGTGGTCTCGAAGTTCAGAGAAGTGGGAAAAGGCTTTCACGACTCTGGGGTTTATGCGCCACAACAACTGGAACTAGGTACTGCTCAACTTGCACAGTTCTGGGGGCGGCATCCCTCTGAGGAGCTCAGCCCTCCACTCAGAAGTAGACAGGAGTTCCATGTTTACACAGTACATCGGTAACTCCCGATTTCTCCTTTGAGTCTCTAAGGGTTACCTCAGGGTCTAAAGAAGGCTCAGACAGCTGCAAAATGGGCTAACAGTCAAGACAGCTTGCACTGCCAACCTCTTGTGGATGGAAGTGCACCCTTTTAACACCCACCTTAGGAAGGTCCTCTGTGCGGATGGAGGGGTCAGGTGTTAGACGAGCTAAGCCCTAACTCCCTTAAGGGCCCTCCCAGACTCCACTTTCTATTCAGCCAGCACTCACCAGGTCCCTTTCCAGATCCAGTGGGAATAGCTGCCAGAGCCAAAGATGGTAGTAGTTTGTAACTTCAGAGTCCTGGAGAATGGGGTTTCCCCTTGCTTCCACCAGAACAGCTCTACTTCCACTTAATTTAATAACTGATCTTCCAGTTTATTTGAGCAAAGTGGTTAGGAAAACACAATGTCCACATTTACAGACACAGATCTCTCTGAGTCCAGAGACTCACCGGGGATGGCAGGAGGACTCCCAAGCGAGCTGCCCGGCACGGCCCCGCTGGAGTGTGGGGAGTTCCAGAGGCCCGAGAGCTTATGTGCTGACAGGAATGAGCTGGGATCCCAGTCCCCTGAGTTCCCATGGCAGGACGAGGACGAGGATGATGAAGAGGAGGACGAAGAGGAATGAGAGTCACCCCCACAAGACTGTGATTTGCAAGATGTGTGTGACAAGGAGATCTGGAGAAGGGGTTAGAAAAAGGCCTATGACACAACAGCAAGCATCACAGCTGACCCAGTGCTGCCTAAGCTTACCCAGGAGCGCTTCCTCTCCAGGCCCCTGGGCCCCAGCCGGGAAGGGCTGTGCTGCCGAGGTGAGGTGAAGTGTGTGGGCACTGGTGAGAGACACTCTGAGGGGTGGGGTGGGGTGGGGCGAGACTGCCTGTCAACTATGGGCCTGTGGGGGTGTCCTGAGAGCTGCAGAGGAGAGGAGGGTCTTTAAATCAAGAGTCCTGAAGCTGAACTGACTCTGGGAAAAGAGGGGTTGGAGGGGATGAGAAACAAGGACGTTGTGACCACTGTGATTCAGGAGAGGCAGACTAGTTGGTTCCCAACCTCCTGCAGGCCTTCTGAGACACGATGCAGACCCTCAAATCGACCTCTGTCCTCTACATCACACTGGTTGGCTTTCAAGCTACCGCAGAGCTGAAGGCAGCTCGGTCACATGGAAGGGACAGGGTCTCCATCTATCAATACACCTACGAGCTGGCCCTCACACTGTGCGCAGACTCTCCTAAGGGGTCGGTGGGCTGCCTGAAGCCTCTCTTCTTCCCCTACATGTGAACCCAAGCTGCTAATGCTGTGTGGGTACAGCCCAGCAGCCCCTCAGCTCCTGGGCGTAGGGGCTGCCCAAGGAGAGCCACCTGAGGACAGGGAAGGAACAGCTCGACAGTGTGACGTCTTTGGGCAGGCCATCTTCCTGCGCTCAGGGACCCTTCCCAGTGGTTACCTACCGCCACTGCATGCTCTCGACCTGTCTGCCTTTCATCTTCCTCCATGCTCCTTCGGCAGCTCTGGCAGACCCACAGAGGCATCTCGCCTAGGAGATTCTTGACGAGCTTTGGCATGAAGTCAGGGGGCAGCTTCTCACCCTGCAACACCAGTCCATTCTGGGAAGGACCTTCTTCCCAGCCTTTGCGTTCCCGATGACACAGCAGGCAACAGGTCTGCACAGACTGGCTGGAGGTGGGGGGAACCTGTCCAACAGACAGAAACAGGGTTTCCCAGGAGGGGAAGGCTCTGCTTAGAGATAATACTAACAATATTAATACTGTCACTTATTATATGCCACATACTGGGTTAGGCACTTTATATACATAATTTTAGTCCTTGTAACAGCTCTGCAAACTAGGTGTGATTATTCCCATTTTTTTAGATGAAGAAACAGATTTTAAAAGTTAAATGAGTTGCCCAAGGTTACAGAGCTAGTGAGTGAGTGAACTAGGATTTAAACCCCAGGGAGGCTGACTCCAAAGCTCATGCCCAAATGCCCTAATGCCCCAATGTCCCCAAATCTTGAAGGTTAAAGAGAAGAAAGAGGGCCCTTCCTCCTCTGACATGTCTCGAGAGGCCACAATCCTCGGGCTGTCTGTGTAGCTCACAGACCCATTCCTGTCTGAGAGGAAAGAGCACTTCAGTTAATGCTGAGTGGGAGGAGCGTGGGCTTCCTGAAGAGCTGTTCATTCTCCTGGGATCACAGCAGCTTTGGAGGAGGGGTTTGGCTTACTACTCAAAAGGTATCAACTCAACTGAAAACTGAGCTGGAGGGAAGGTAAGGCAGACCCTGGTACTTCTGAGAGGCAAAAGGTGTGGTGAAAAGAACCTGGGCTTTGGGGGTCGTACTGACCTGCACTCTAATCCCTATCTGAGCACATATTAGCTGGGTGACCTTGAGCAAGTTATTTAACCTCCCAAGCTCCGATTTCCTACCCACCTTGCAGAGCTGTTATGAGGCTTGGCACATAAACAGGGAAGGTGCCTAGCCCAGTGCATGCCCATAGCATAGTCCCAATCAGTACACAGCAATTCTTACTTGGACTGCTTTTTCCTTCTAGGACACACCTGACCTAGAAATATAAGTCTACAGGTTTTCTTTCACATTGAGGGCTACTGATTGGGAGACTGATTGCATTTAATGACCCCAACTAATAGCTTTCCTATATCCTGCAACTTTGTAGTCCCTTCTCAGTCTGATACTGGCCTTAGTCATATCATTTTCTTTGGCCCATATTATGTTAGCAAATGTGCTGCTGTCATAAGTTTGAAAAGTGTGTATTTCTATTGCTTCCTTGCATGGCTGAGCTTGCTGGCTCTTGTACCTCTGCCATGCCACGAGCATGACCAGGCTAGCTGCTGGAGGGATGTGAGAAATGTGTGGAGAAAACGGAGTTAATTCTAGCTGATTGGTTGGCAGATCAGATACATGAGTGAGCCCAGCCGAGATCAACCAAGCCGGTTCCTATCAGCAGAAAAACCCAGTCAACCCATAGACTTGTGAGAAGTGATAAATGGTGTTGTTTTAAATCACTAAGTTTTGGGGTGGATTGTTACATGCAACAGTTAACTGGTATACCTTCCACACTTACCCACTACTAGGTAAAGGTGTTTGCAGGCCTAAGCAGAGGAATAATAAGGGTATCATCCTCATTCTATCAATAAAATTAATGCCATCATCTTTATCAAATAAAATCACCTTCTCACAATAAGTTGGCATCAGAGTATCCTTAAATCTGTAATGTTACAATTACACTGACCTGGGTCCCTGATGTCTAGGAAAAGAAAGGAACCAAACAGTAGTACCAAGAGCATAAGAAACATTTGGGGAGTACAAAGACCTTGGAAGACTATCAGAAAGAGAGAAATCTTACATGTGGAACTCATATGAGATACTAAAAACCTCAACGGTCTCTGCCAAGGGAACACTTCAGTGAGCAAGGCAGCTGCTCAGTGTTAACTGCAAAAGGATAGTCAAGTAGAACCCACTGGTAGTGAGTCTCTCATGGAAAGGGTGGAAGGTGAATGGAGAAGGATGACGGTCAGAGAAGTCAAGGCGAAGGAGGCCTTTCTGCCAAGTTACCTAGGAAACTTTCTATAGCTACAAGGTGCCATAGTAACTGCGGGGGGGGGGGGGAGGAAGGGGGCAACACTCACATCCCTTTCCCTATAATGATGGTGACCAGAGTCTTAAGGCAAACACCTGGACATATAATTGTAATACAATAGAGGTTCATTTCATTTGGGTGTTAGGTTCTAAAGGTATTACATAAGATGAAAATCTCATATGAGTAAAATTATTCTTTAAATTCTTTATATCGCCTGTGAAGTACAGCATATATGGTTTTTTAGGTACAACCAAGAATTCAAATGTATAATATACAGTATATGGCAATATATGAGAAGGGTTTTTTCCCGTTTTCTTTTAAAAGCAAACGGAATTCTTATACGTTAAATGTGTATCAGTGTGTCAGAGGACGTGTGGGAGGCACTGGAGTGCAGTGGAAACGCCAGCCTTGGCATTAATTTTGGGTCTCCATCGCGTACCAGCTGATGCCCAGCAAGTTTTACTTCTGTCTCCTTGTCTGTAAAACGGGATTAAGTCCTATCTTGTAGGGTCATCTGTGAGCATTAAGTGTGACAAAGCACCTACTCCAGTGCCAGGCCCATAATATGTTGCTCAACATATGGTACTAAGTGTGAACCGGATGGGAGCGATAGAAAACAGTATTTAAAATCAGGACTAGGGTAGAAAATATAGAAAATATGGTCACTGTATTTTACAAGAATGCAAGAATCTCTCACATACAATGAATCTAAGATGACTTGTTAGGCATCTTAATCTTTGCCCTCAACTCCATGAAGTCATTCCTTGAGTTCCCCAAACACTCTCTGTACTCTCCTATCTCATGCCTTTGCTAAAGGGAATCCCCTGCTTAAAACCTCCTACCTTCCCACGTTTACCAATAGGAGCTAGGCAGGGCTTCAAGGCCCAGTTTAAATCCAATCTCACCCAAGCTCTCCTAGACTCCTGCTGCTCTGCACGTCTCTTCCCATATCACACAGCACACTGTGCTTTGGTTGCAGCGTCGGTGCCTTCCACTTTATCTATTTGCCCATATTTTCTTTTCCTTCTATGAGGTGTGCTCCCAGAAGGCAAGCACCAGCTCTGATTCTTGTCTGGCTCCCTCATAGTGTATAGCACAGGGCCTAGGCTCAGCTGGGCACACAGAGGCTAAGTCAGATTTGTCAAGTGTCCCCACGGCAATACAGTTGGCAGGCAGTTTGGTGAGACAGTGCCTGAAATTATTGCTTCCCACAAAGAAAGGCCATCTCCCCACTGGACCTCCACCCAAATGGTTCCAATCTCAAGTGTGGAAGAGTGGAAGGCTGTATTCCTTGGAGATTACAGTGAGATGCCTCTGTTCATGGAAATACTGTGACTCTCCCTAGAGCCCAACTAGTCACATAATAAATGAGATTAGCCATCAGTGGAAGTGAATTTACAGGACAGGCTGTCTTTCCAGTTAAAGGAAGAAACACAGGGCCTGGGAAGCTAATTAACTCCTAACTGAAGTGCGGATGATACCACCTACATTGCATAAGGATGCTCAGAGGATTAAATGATATTAGAGATGCAAAGCTTAGCTCAAGGGATCCATGCAGTAGGCACTCAATCTATTATCTAGGCCCCTTGGTTGTTCTATCCTTAATAAGTCTAGCAACTAGCTTATCCACTGTCCTGAGTTTGGTATACTTGAGTTCTTTCTGGGCCCAGGCAGTTCTGGGGGCAACCCCCAAAGCTGTCTTAACCCTCAGTCTCGGTGCCTGCACCTGGGTACAATGTCTGGTGGGGCCTGGAAACTTTTCTCTCTGACATTTCATCTTTAAATGCCAGAGGGTGGTGAGAATCCCAAACCCTGGAGATATTACATTCAGTCAGTACTATCACTGTTTCTTCACATTTTTGCTTTGGCAGAGACAAGCTTTTGGTTCAGAGTTCTCTTTAACTGCAGTCTCCTGCCATTCCCCAAATTCCTGGCAACTGTGACCCTTTATGCCCTGAAGTCAACCCAGGCTTTCGACTAAACCATTTTTCTTCATCACAAAGGTGGATGGAACTGATTCTTAAGCCCAGCAGTCCTGGGCAGCAGCTAATTATTCCTTCTCATCTCAGTTTAAATTTCAGAGCCTCTCCAGATACAGGTCTAGACTTTGGCAAAAGATGGGGGGAAGAGGAAGGAAAGGTTCTAGGGGTTCTCTTGAGTTGGGATCTGCTCAAACAAGCTCCAAGATAATTCTGCTTCGTGCTCTGAGCAAAACCAGAATATCCGGAGAGCGTGGAGTTACTCACACAGGGGATCCATACTGTAGCACACGCATCCCCAAGGCAGTCAAGGAGCCAGGTGAGCCCCAGACTGTCGCCATTCTCATCCAAGGGGGCTGGCACGTGCAGCCATTAAAACCAGTATCTCTGCTCCCCCACCTGACCAGGTCCCAGACTTTTATGTCTTTGTCTCAGAAGTATTATGTTAGGCGTTTTAGTTTTTCCTAGATAAAAAGAGATAAAATCAAAGAAAGAGGAAGCTATGTTTTTCATGGAACACACTTTTCACTTGAAAGAATGGCCGACAAGCTATGGTTATTTGGAATTGGGTACTGACAGACATTAAAAAAAAAAAGCCTGTCAGTTCTTCAAGGAAAACAATTTATTTGTGGCCAATGATAAAATTTAACCTTTTGAGTAAAACTTAGCATTTTGGAAAACTTGTATCTACCACCAGGAGCTTGACAACTTCCCAATACTTAAAGACTTTTCTGATGTAACTGGTGGTGATATTAACAAATGTTATCTTTTGATATTATAAAATGAAAAGGGAACATATCTGGAAGATCTGTGTAACTCAGTGAGCTTATTTTCCAAATGATCAAAGCATGATGTTAAAGATTCATACAATGGTTAAAAATCCACTCAAAGTGCTAGACAGACCAAGAGATTTCAATGCAAATGAGTAAAAAGACAACTGACACGGTTTCAGATTCCATATTGCAAAGAAGAATATCAAGAATCATCTGGAAAGGCTATTAAAATACTCCTCCTTTTTCCAATTAGGTATCTGTGTGAGGCTGTATTTTTTGATATACGGCAACCAAAATAACAGACTGAATACAGAAGCATATATAAGAATCCGGCTTTTTTTGTATTATCCCAGACATTAAAAAAAAAATTGGCACAAATGAAAACAAGACTGTTCTCATTCATTTTTGTTTGTTTTGGAAAAAGTTATTTTTCATTAAAAATTACGTTAATGTGATAGGTTTAACATTGTTATTCTCAAATGAATTTGTAACTAAATATTTTTAAACTTTTTCAGCTTTAATACTTAATTTGGTAGATATCAACAGATATAACCAATGCTAGTTCTTTTGGGTCCTTAATACTTTGTAGGAATGTAAAAGGGCCCCCAAGACCAAACAGTTTGAGAACTGCTGATATAAAGCATCTAACGGTGCCTGTCACCCAGTGGGTGCACAACAATCAATGGTGATAAACAATGATATAGCCCACAGCATATCTGGATAGTTCTTTGGGGGCATGAATAAATTCCCCCCTCAGCCTTTCTGTCCACAATTTAGGAACTGCCAGGGTATAACCCAAATCACCAGACCAGATAGCTGTTAAGGACTGCTCAGAAGCTAGATGTGATTTCTAGCACTGAACTTGCTCCCGTTCCTCTCATGGATTCCTTACACTCCCAAGAGTTCAGGTATGTTTGTAGAGGGTTCCCCCGAGACACATGTGGTATCTAACCAGCAGCCCTGCAACAGCTTCCGAATTCTATTCTGAAATGGTCCATTACAGCACTCTACTCTCAAGGCGCCCAACTCTAAGAGCCTCCCTGTCACCAAGGCAGGCAGAGGACAACAGTAGCAGCTAAAAATTCCCTTCCAGAAGCAGAGAAATAATGAATTCCCAGCTTGGAAAAACTCATCAGCCCAGTCATCACCACTCACTCTTCCAGTCACCCATTCATTCCCTCATTCAACAAACATTCTCACAGCCCCTACTTGGTGCCCATCATTGTGCTAGCAGCTGGGACAAACATCAAATCATACAAAGTTACTGCCTCAAGGACACGTCCTTAAACCAGGCAGGTTCATGCACTGGGTTGTCAATTTTTCCAAACTACCAGGATGTCTCATATACGTTTTAGAGAATCAGGCAGAAGCACCAATTAAAATAATACACAATTATAATTAATACACAAAATACATAAATGAAAAACAACCAAACAGGACACTGGGCTCCTCTGCCTAGTGTAAGCCCAGTGTGTGCCCTCCCATGTGCCTAGCCAGTTTGATGATCTCCCTTCAGTTCTTCTTTCCTACCTCAGTCTCGCTTTGACTTCCAGGCTCCTTTCTGGTTGAGCGCACTACCGTGGCACTCTGGCCCCTGGCATTCATGACTTGACTCCAACTGACATCTCTGTGCTCTACTGCCACCTGAGAACCTCAGGCTCTAGTCAAACTGTTTCTCAGATATGCCTTGCCCCTTCAAACTGCAGTACCTCAGCTCTACTCCTTGGCAAATTCCTCCTCACTCCTAAGATCCTGGTTAAAGGGAATAAAGCTTTTGCGGGACCAGGCTATGTAGAATGAATTCTGTTAGTATTGCATCTATTACACTGTGCCATAGGCACAGTCTCTGTCTGTCCCTAACCCTAGCAGAATGGGTGCTCTCTGAGGGCAGGGAATGCACCTTTGTTATTTAAGTGTGTCTGGGAACCTAGGCTTGGCTTCCACCTGGCACAGAGTAGGCATTCACCGAATAAATGAGCAAATGCTTAAAGCCCATCTGGCTGACATCTCAGCTGCTCTACACAAAGGATAGAATCGAAAACACAGCTGAACCAGCCCTTTCCCGACATGCTATGCTAAAGGCATGACTGTATCACTCCGGGCCACTGACGAGAAGGCATCTGTGCTAAGAATTTCAGACCATTCTAATGTTGGCAATCAGAGCTGCAGTTAATTTCCAGGGGGGCTGATATAACTGCACCTTAGTACCCTGGAACTTTCACCTAAACGCCCACCCAGGTTGTTGGTTCAGGTCCTCCCAGGAGACAGGACAATTGTTTCATATCGTAAAGCCAGTTTGTGGAGAATGTGCTCTTATACAAGCTAATCAAAGATAGGGCAGGGAGTCTCTCAGACCCCAGTGGCCTTCCACCCCTCCAAGGCTAACTCATCTGTCTAACCTGCTTCCTGGGTGTCATCAGCCATAGGAAGGCCTAAGCTGCTGCTTACTGACCTGAAACCTCAGGCAAACCGTATTACCTACTACTGTATAACCCCAGCACAGATATCTCATGGGTGGAAGAGTATGAACTTTGGAGACAGACTGTTGTTAGTTCAAATCCCAGTTCTGCCATTTTCAGTATCTTAGATTATTACTCAGTTTCTTTGAGCCTCAATTTCCTCATTTATGAAATCAGAATAAAATCATACTTCACAGAATTGTGAGGACAGAAGGAAATAAATTATGTAAAGTACCTGGCCTGGGCCTGGCACACAGTAGGTGCTCAATACCCGTTAGTTTCTTTCCTCTTCTGTCCTGGAAAAAATGACAGGGAAACTTACTAAGTGAGACTTGCCCAATCCAAAGTTATTACTTGAAGCACAGGACAGAAGACTAGACAGGTGACCTTCAAGGCCCCTTTGAACCCCCCAGTCCACCTTCTTTGGCTACAACTTTCTAAAAAGAACATTCAGTGTTTCAAGTCCCTTCTTTCTGCCTTAGTTCCCCTATATTTATTCATTTCGGAATAGAGGAGAACCACAAAGGGAGCTGGAGAGCTAAGAGCCTTGCGTAGGGAATAAAGGGGAGATGGCCTATAGGGCTGTAGCTTGGGCACAGAACCGAAGGGTGCACACATGGGGCCTTTCCTAGGATATAAGTATGCTGCCTCTCAGTACTTTCCTGCTCTGCGCATCCTGCCACAAAGAACCATTAACCCTTCCTTTCCCCAAACACATAAAGCACTCATGCCTTCACTCGTGCTGTTCCTTCTGCCTCTTCCTTTTCAGGATCAGTTTGGGTTTTACACCTTCCTAAGTCTGAAGGCAAAGTGAACCATGCTTTGCTCTGGAATGTCCTAACACTTCTTTACATATCTTCTGAGTAAGTTTATTACAGGTATCCAGTTGTTGAAATCTAACTTCTCCACCAAACGGTGAGCTTTTTAAGGGTAAGGCCTATGTCCCATGATTCACTGCATCTCAATCATTCGGCAGAGGTGGCAGCACGAGGCAGGCATGAGTTAGTGTTCTGATACACAAAGGAAGATTAACAGTTGGAGAATATCATTAATAGGGCAATAACAGGGGACCTAG